GTGAATGAGTTATGAATGTTCCGATGAGAGTGCATATACTCAGAACATTCAGGACTCATCTACTCGTTTACATCCATCAGAAGACGAAAATCGCACCAGGTCTTCAAGCTCTAGATTAACAAAATAAAAATGTGATGAATGTTTCAACCATGTTTTAACTTCAATGGAATAGATGATAGTAGATAGATATAAGTTCTTTGTAAGTTTGCATGGCGATAAAACACATAATATTTTATTTGTGGAAACACCACGTAACTATTTGCTGTGTTGGTGTAATGTACTCAGGTGAATATGATGCTTGTGATGTTACTCTGAGTGTATATCCACACCGGGCAGGCTTGAAAAATATGCCTGGCCACGGTTGGGAATCGAACCTACGACCTTTGGAACACCAAGATAGATAGATAGATAACTTTATTTAAACTATAGATGTATAACTTTAAGTAGATAGATAGATAACTTTATTTAAACACGCTAACCTCGTCAACTAAAGCTGAATTTCCACGAGAGGCGTGTGAAGAAGAAGTATACAGCAAATATGAAAAGTATTTAAAAGCTATTTAGAAAATGTAAGATATAGTATTAAAATAATATATTAAGTATTAAGATATAATATATAGTATATATGAGGTAATAGTCTATTTACAGATGCATATGTTTGCTTTAACTATCAATGTGAGCAGCGATATTTGTCCGAAAGGAGGAAAGGAAAGCATTCAGAAGAGCTAACCAAAGTCCTGTGGTTGCCAACTCTCATGCACTCTCATGCATCCACGTTTCAGCCGGGCTTCAGACAATGTCAGCATTTCCGAAGTCACGGCCAGTAACGGCGCCCCAATAACGGTTTACTAACAATAGCACCCCATGACATGACATATGTACCTATGTCTCGATACGTTTGGATGGATTTCAACGAATAAACTAGAAATGCATGCTATATATATTTGAGTTGTTGTAAATGGCATACCAAATAGATATTGAATTAAATAGCAGTGACACTTAACTTGTCACTTGTTCTGAGGACCAAATGACATGTACTTGCTTAAGCAGTTGATTAAGTTTGAACTTGGGGTACAGGCACGTATGGATTTGCAGTAATTTTAATATTATAAAATATCGTTCAAGTGCAGATAAGCTTTCTACTTTTAGTTTAATTGTTTCACATCTACTTTATAAGTCCTTCGCTCTTAGGCGTGTATATGGCCTGAATTTAATCGTGCTCGATATTATCCGAGTCCTGAAGTGTAAAAGAAACTCAGCAGATTATAACCAGATTTGTAGAGCTATTATTGGTCGTGAAAAGTAAAGATTTAAAATTTAACTGAATTTAACACCAACAGTAGTATAGTCTTTACTGCATGTTAATTGCATTTTAGCCCAATGGCCTCGTGTTCATGTGCGCCTGTTTTTTGAATTGGCAGGCGAACATGGAGATTATATTCCATTTTCTTTGCACGAAAATTTTTCTCTTCGATCTTGTGCCCAATGACGACAAAATAACTACACGAAAACGAGGCCATTAGCGCAAGAATCCAATAAACAGTATACAGTCTGTTGGACATTGCAGTAATGTTAAGGCTTTGTTATCTAAATAACTGTAAACGTTTTAGCCGACTTGGTTACGTTGGGCAGTATACTGCAGACATTGTAGAAAATAATGACTCACATATTCTACCATTTCCCAGACTCCCAGCTACATTTACATTTACATTTAAACGCAGAAGGTTCACAGTCGATTTTTTATAAAAAGGTTATTAAGGACGCAGTGGCCAGCGAGATTTTATGGAAAAGAATTTGCAATTGCTTTTCCAGCTAATTCGTATAGTAATGTATTTAAATTTATACTTGCTTGACATTTGCTCTTACAAATTAGACAATTTTGATTGGCCACTTTTTTGGCAAATAATTGGTGGAAATATCTTATTGAGCATGCGCACTTACATGAGCCATGCAGATACAAATGTATATAAGTAATTTATAGCACTATTAAAATATCACATCAAACATGAAAATAAATAAACAAAGATCTGTATACTTTGTTATATGCATTCATTCTCCACTGATGAACACGACGTGCTTATTCCTTTATCTTAATTCGTTTGGGATTGCTTTGTTGAGCTGCTTGCTTCTCCTTTTAAAATTATTGTAAATGAATATTTCGACTTAGTAGGTTTCACATAATTGTACTATAAGGTATGATCTGAAGTTATACTTAAGAAAGTTTCAGATAGTGATAGGGATACAACTACGTTTTGAGGGAAGTTTGTAGCCAAATTTTACTTGTATTTTTTCATGTATCCCTATCAATTCGAAACTTTCTTATATATTATTGGCACTACCTATACACTGACAGTTCAAGATTATCTGTCTTAACATTTCTACATCACCATTTGTGCAATACCGAACATCTAGGTATAAATTGCGTCTTTTGTTCAAATGCATTATTTTATACTTAAGTTAATGTGCCAATTATTTTTATATTGCATGCATATAAATAGTGTAAATAATAAAGAATATATATTTTGTGTTATGCATGCAATATTATATAACATAGGAAGTTCAATACGATATACCATACACGTGTAAAACACACAAGTTAATGTTACAAGTCTGTAAACAAGTTGTTACAAATCTGTTCACAAGCTGTCGACAAGTTGTGTTCGCACTGCTTGTTCCCAGTTGTTGCAACAAGTTTGGAACAAGCTGTTAACAACTTGTAGCTTCATGGCATTGTCAGACTTGTTGCAAGCATGTTGTTCTAACATGTCAGGTACTACAAAAAATGTTGTAAGGGTAACGACACAAGGTTGTAACAATATTGTTATAGGCTATACTGTTGGAATAACATTGCAACAGTCTCATAATATCAACAAGGTTGTTTTAGCATTGTTAACAAGTTGTACCATACTTTTTACAACAATTGGGAACAAGCAATGCGAACACAACTTGTTGACAGCTTGTTGGCAGACTTGCTACAAGATGTGAGATTTTTGCGTGTGTAGCAAGAGTGTGTATATATATACAGACTGATGAAAAGCATAATGGGAGCATCATTTAATCAGTTTAGAAATCATATATGGGGCCATTTCTTAGAGACATGGTAAATATGTCCTTACGAGAACAATTCATTCACAAATATAGCTGCAATATGCAACTACTAAGCTTGAAACTTGCTCCCATTATGCTTTGCGCGCTTAGAGTTTAAGGTTTTTGGAAGGACAACTTTTTTTGAATTGGCTGTATATATATATAGGGTCCTTTAATTAAAAGTTTATTGCAAAATTTTTATAGCTGATTTAGTTGGATTTAGTTCAGAGGAAATTGTTTATTGATTCTTTGTATTGCTTGAACAAAGTCCTTTCTGATATTGATTAAAGAATGAAAGTTGAGTCATGCACTTGTATTTTCCTGTTTATGCCATCCCCTCCCATCTGCTGACGTTCTTGTCGAGTACCAAACTGAGACGCTCTTTTACGGTCTCCCGCTTCTGCAAGCTATAATTATGCACTTGCTTGATTGCTTTAATTGCTTCGCAAATCTAAAGCACGCGATTTATAATGGTACATGTTCAGCTGATGCTATACTGTACTATATTCTCTGTTTTTTTATCAAGTCTTTGAGACACCAACCATAGGCGTATACGCGAGGGAAACAATTAGGGGCGCAGAAAGAAATTTGCCTGGCTTTCTTTTGCATTTTGCCGCTGGCTTATCAACAAAATTTTTCCATGCTAAAACTTCCAAAATTTTTGTCGAAGGGCTTAACATTTTTCGTAACATTACATTTTTCGTCCATTTTCGACTATTATCTTACATATTTCTTGCTTTTAAATTTATTTCCTCATCTTTTTGCCAAACTTACGTTTATAATTGGCAGTCGCTTACTGTAAAAGATGGCACTATCTGTGGTGTACTCAGTTTGTTGGCCAGCAACAAACCGCTTTTTACAATTACCCTCGTTTACACTTCCTATGGACTGTTTAAGCTAGCACTAACATTTGGCTTGTATTTAAAAGATGGCCCGACTTTGTTCTCTGGGGGTTTTGCCAACCTTTGAGACAGCTATCGACCAATAGTTTTTGAAAGAAAACTCAATGTTTATTACCCTTGTTTATACATTGCTTTAAGTTAAACCTAGCTATACAGATAGCAATGGTATCGCGGATAAAACATTTTATAGAAACACAAACTTATTTATTCGAGGAGCAATCATTTCTTATACGCACTGAACAAAAAATATTAAACAAAATGGAGTTGTAGCCATGTCTCTGCTGGTAAAAGCGCCTCTGCTCGAAACGTAATTACGTAAAGACCTAGCACCAACAATTGACTCCCATTTAAATACGTGATCACTCCCTAAAAGTGTGCAAGATTAAAAAAGTCACATGATATTTTAAAACATTTTTTGTGATTTTTTGTGTGTTTTTGCTTTATGTGTTTCTTTTAAATTTTTTGTGATTTTCTTTTCATATGATTTTTTCACGTGATTTTAAGTAAGTGATTAGACTGACAAATAGAGGCTAACAACAAATAAAACGCAAATCTAGGCCGGGATGAAATTCCAACTTTCATACCAAAAGTTGTTTCGGCGTTGTTTGCAATATTGAACTGAGAAGGGGGGGGGAGGTTGACAAGGTCTGTTAATGTCAATGTTAATACTTTTTTTGTGTGTTGGTGTTATGTACTCAGGTGAATATTATGTTTGTGATGTTACTCTGAGTGTGCCGCACCGGTCAAGCTGAAAAGTTTGCTTGACTGGGAATCGAACCATAGATATCTTATATACACTAGATAGTGCATCTAATTATTCTGCAATTCAAAAATTGAAGCCGTGATTGCAGACTCAGGATATTCCCATGAAATGAGAAAACTCGTATGTTTTCTATTTCTTAAACAGGGAACTTAAACATTAAGTTAAACCTATTCCAATTCCTTTTTTTTAAGCGTTTATTAGCGAGTGGAAACTTCAACATGGCCGCCATCTATTTAAATGGGGGTAACCGCTGGAATATTCTTGGCTTCAATTTTACTAAAAGAGATGCGCTATCTAGTCTATATAAGATATTTATGAATCGAACCCGCTGGCAGAGCATTGGACTAGCATCGGGGGTTTCGATTCCACCGTGATCAGGCAAATGTTTCAGCTTGCCCGGTGTGGATGCACACTCAGAGTAACATCACAAACATCAATGTGCATTAACTTTGCAATATTGGCTGGAACGGTCTCAAGGGTTTTTTCCGAGATTGTAGTACTGTCAGGCGAACTGTACAAGAAGCTTTATGATTATTCCATATTAATATCCGATCCAAGACAGCTAATTTTCCATTTTTCTTTTAAATATAGATTGGAAAAACTACATGATCATTATGCTCCTGTCTGATTGCAAGTCTGAACCTGTCTGGTAAGTTTTTGTGCTTGAAACCTACTAATCACTAAAGTTACCACTTTGATATACTATTCTACCCTGCCATATCAATCTATACCCTGTCTTATCAAGCCATACTATACTCTAACCTTACTTATACCTACTTTATCCAATCATACCTCACTCTACCCTACTCTATCCATACCTACTATAACTTATCCTTACCTATCATGTCTTAGTCCACCATTTCCTACAGTGGACTATTACCCACGTGTTTCCTTATCTGTCATATCTATTTCGATAATAATATATTCATGAATAACGTCCAATATCCGTCACATTTGACGTGACTTTTTATTCGGCCAATTGGGTTACTACAATCAGAAATTGCGGCCACAATGACAATCTTAACTGAGCACGCGTAGAATGTAGTCATGCTGTCGTGTGCTGAATATTAATGAAGAAAACTAAATTATAGTCGGTAAAGTTTTTTATTTATTGCTGGAATTTCGAGATTTAAAAAAGGTTAAAGACCCCCAAAAATATAATGTGACTCAAGCAATTGGATCAAGCATAATTAAGAACTATCTAAACTTACAAATTTATTTCGCCGCAAGTAGGTCGTAATACAGCAAAACAAGACGCGCGAGAAAATTATTGACTGAGCCCCCAATGTCATGTAATGAATGCTCAGCGACGTGACCCATTTTTGCGTTATTACTTCGAGTAAAGAACACGTAATAGTTTGAGCTAATTCAAAGTAGGTTAAAACAGTCAGATGGTGTTAAGACCAGGGCTAGGTTAGGGTTAGAATCAGGGTTAAGGTCAGGGTTATGTCTAACTTTTATGATCACACATACCTTATAATTTACTCAAACTGTTTTGTGGGTCTTACATGAAGTACTTACCCATTTTTGTACAATTTTTAGTCGTGACTGCATGGGTTTCGCCATGAAGTGGAGGACGATAGCTGGCCATTATAGAGTTCGACTCGGGGCATAGCCAACTCAAAACGAGTGGGGGTACAATGGGTGATTCCAGCTATAGACTAAATTTTGATCAAGGCAAGAAGAACGAAATCCAACACCACAGCTAGAAAGAGCGTTTTAGAATGAGTAAAACTGCTAAGATTGGTTGCTAAATGTTGTAAAACGAAGAAAATATAGCCCTGTGAAGTTAGCAAATTTTGCATATATTTGTATTACGTGCGGTAAAAATAACCACTTTCGGCTCAAAAATGGTTATTTTTTCCGCGCGTAATGCAAATATATACAAAATTTGCGAATTTCACAGGGCTATATTTTCCTCATTTTACAACAATTCGCAACCAAACTTTGCAATTTTATTCATTTTAAGGTGCTCTTTCCAGTTATGGTAATGGAGTTCGTTCTTCTTATCTAGATCAAAATTTCGTCTATAGCTGGAATTATCCATTAAGTCATCGTCGAATTCACAATTTTCAATTCATGGGGTCCAGCCTTCCCGCAGCATGATCTCCCCGAACTTTTTTCTATTTATGCCATAGATGAAAGCATTGCGAGGTTATGTGCCCCCACCCAAGCTTCTCCTCAGGACTTTCTACTGTAGACAAAAGTAATAAGTGTTTGTGATGCATGAGCTTCAGATGTTAGTTTGCGATGGTAACAAATAATGTTTCAAGCACGTTAGGTGAAAGAACAGCCCGAAAATAAGTAAAACACACACCAAATCATTGTGGGAGAATGGGTTCAGGGTGAAGTGAACCAATTATA